ACACACACACACACACACACACACACACACACACACAATCTACAGTCATTTTTTTTATCTACCCTCACTGACACCAATTTGTTTCGCTACGCATGCATTGTTTATACTGTGTGCATGTTCTGAATACAACTAATATCTAAAAGAAACAAAAATCAGTACTCTAAGTAATAGTACGCTACGTGTGACTTTTGCTATGAGGGTGCTCGCTATGTACATGCTAGACACTAAGTGTGTGTGTGCTACTCTTATAATTCATAAGAAACATATGTAAAGATTATAGGAAAAAACCCGCAAAAAACAGACACCAGTACACATAGCACGTGAGAATGAAAATTCCATGAAAGTAAAATCAGAACGCCAGAAAGCTCTTCACATGTACGAAGACCAGAAAGCAAAATTCTTTAGATGAGAAAGAAAAAAAATGCATTCTTTTAACAACTAAATTTTCGTTGTGCATATTTTCTTGCTTTTTTCAACATTAACAAATTTTGTTTTCAACGAAATATATTTTTGAACAAGTGCATCTGATACTTCAGATTTAAAGAACTGTGATATTTTTTTTCTTCAAAATGTTGGGTTTGTATAATCTGAACAGGTGGCCGATGATTAGAGTCGACTATGACGATGATGATGAGGCTGATGACGAAGATGATGATGATGATGAAGATGATGATGACGATGATGTTTGTATTTAATGAGCACTTTTGGTCTAAGTAAAACTGGATCGTCTATTGAGGTCAGATTGAAGAAGTGGTTATTAAGGAAGACAGTGTAAATAAGAGTGTGTTTCTTGTCTGCAAGCTTTGGCTGTGACAATTCTTAGACAAACTGCACGACACTTACAGAGACTGCTTTAGGAGGACACCACTCAAGATTATTTTGTGCAAGGAACATAAAACAAGTATTAAAGTAAAAACAAAACAAAAACAAAAAAACGAAACAAATAATAAACAGTAACCTCTCTGTGGCAACGAGAAATGATGGGGTGGGGATTATGAACTAAATAGAGGTCACAGTGTGTGTTCGGATCATTCTGTCTGTTGAGCGAAAAATATGTACAAATCAAAATTCTGTACGGGCTCCCGTGGTCTTTAGGTACAGTGTTCTCCTCTTGTTCAAGAGGTCCCGGGATCGAAACTTGACGGCCGCGAAAAAACTTTCTTCTCCATATTATATTGTGTTATCCTTTCATGTCCTTTCCTGTTCTCTTGTCCTTTTCTGTCATTTCGTTACATCTTCACCCCCCCCCCCCCCCAAATAACCTGCATTCTCTGGGTTCTCTCCCCTTTATTCTCGAATCTTTCTACTGGTTCTTTTGGCTACTTCTATTGCTGTCAGCCATCTCAAATAAGAGTGAAAAGTCTCTGAGATCCCTAGTGCAAGATTCGTACGTTTACGTTCCCTTGGTGGTCCGTAAAATTGATATGAATAGGTATCTGCCGACACATAGACAAAATTCAAAGCCAATTCCTACTTTAAATTTACTTTACTTTTATCCACCGCTTATACCCGTTTGGGTGTCGCGGGAAGAAAGAGACGTCTCTCTGTCTCCAGCCGGAGAGCTTGGGTCACGGGGATGCCGTGGGTGGTTAATGTTTCTCTGACTCCATCTATCAAGGTCTTCCTCGGTCGCCCTCTAGCCTTGTTGCCATCGAATTTTTTTTTTATGTAGGGCGCTTTGAGTTGGATGGTGTGTTGGTAATCGTAGTAGATGTCCGAACTATTCGATTCTTTGTTATTGGATGTGATGTTCGACATCATTTGTGCCCACAATTTTCGGATTACTGAGTTTCTAATTTTGTCTCGCCTGGTCTTGTTTACTGCATTTCTAAGACATCGCATTTCACATGTTGTAATTCTTTCCTCTAATTTCCTGTTCGTAGTCCATGTTTGGCATTGATAGGTGAGTGTTGGGATGAATATGGTGTTGATGATTTTGAGTCTTGTTGTCATGGCAACAGACAGCGCATTTACACAAAAACATCCAAAGTGACAATCACGTACATTTGGGACTCAAACCCTGCTTAGACAGCATTGTACACAACAGATAAGTTTCTCTATCTGTATGGAGACTAAGATGTCCTATTCAACTACAGAAATCCTGAACTATTTTTTTAACGTTTCAGGGCATGGGATACAGAAAAGAGATGACTTTAAACATAAAACTTCTCATATTCCTCTTACTGACAAATTCCTTACCTTTCCTAGACAACACACAGTACACAGCCACTGCAGTAATAAAACCCAGGACAAACGTTGCCACGACTGCCCCAACTGCTACTGCTATGGTCACGTGAATATCGCTTTGTTGTCCCAGCTTCTGGCCGTTTGTACCTCCGTCTTGGTAACCAAGCATGAGATGAAATAGAGAAAAAGTAGTACTTTTCGTAACAAGAAAGATGATCATGGGACGATCATTGTAGAGAAAAAAATCACAAGACTACGTAGCGCGGTGGGATCGATTTATTCTGTGCTGACAACAGACTTGCAGGCTTACTCTTAAGGTTTTCTCACTCACAGGTACACAGTGTTCAAAACCTATAATTATGCGAGGCATCGTATCAGTCACAGGTACACAGTGTTCACAGTTGACATATGCAGCGACTGTCCAGCAAACACATACTCACACACACACACACGCACACATACACACACACACACACACACACACACACACACACACACACACACACACACACACACACACCTGTTAGAGACACTATGACTTCCGTCGTCAAGTCGTAGCACCCACTAAGATGTTCTGCCCGACAACTACAGCTGGTCTCGTTGAAACAGACCGACAACAAGGAGGGGACAATCTTTCCATCAGTCACGTCCCGACCCCCACACTGTAGAGAGATGTCTGAGGCAGAGATTTCCGGGAATCTCCCATCGACGTGACACGCCACACTGTGTTCTGTGCCTGCTTCAAGAACAACGGTGTTGCCCGCACTGACATCAGTGAAGGTTTTGCCGTTGATGACCAGTGTAGGGGCCGTCTTGGGAGGTTCTGGTGAGATGATAGCGGCCATCAAATATTGCACATGGGAAAACGAGTATTCTGTGATAAGTAATGGGCACAAAAAGAAAACAAAGGTCGTGATACGTGTTATAGTTACTGTACACGTTAAAACTAGGTTCCTGATACCTGAGATAGGTAATACTGTAATACAAAAGAAACAAAGGTCGTGATACGTGTTATAGTTACTGTACACGTAAAAACTAGGTTCCTGATACCTGAGATAGGTAATACTGTAATACAAAAGAAACAAAGGTCGTGATACGTTTGATAATAATATGTAATGTTTTTTTCACGTTGAATGTCTGTGGTCCAATAAACAGGCTCTTCTCTTTTAAAGCCAAACATTTTTCAAAGTACAGCCGATTCTTCTCCAACGACCAACTGTATAAGACAATCAATTTTCAACAGCCATGTCCCATTTCTTCCCTTTCATATTACTTTTTTTACATTAAAACAACAATGTGTAAGAGAATTATCTTCAACAGTTTCTACTGTATTTTCATCGGTACAAAACTCAGAAATGGCTGACCAAACAGGCATTTGAATAGCCCGCCTCCTAAATACATGATGAAGCACTGAACTAAACCTTACATTCAGGCATGTATTTTCACCTGAAAGGAAAGAAAGGGCAGCGAAAGCTACAAGGAATACTGAAGTCCTCTGTTAGGAACAAGATTATGTCAACATAGGATAAACACTCAGCTCTATGAAAATGGAAAAAAGTAATTTGTTAAACTAAATAGATACAGACGAAATCTGTTCAAGGATTTTATAACAAGTCAATTTCTGGAACTTTGTTTTGAGCAATTCTAACTAACTCTTTTGGTTTTAGTACATGTACAAACATAATTAGTTTTTTTATTAATATTAAAGTGTGATATTTTTATTTTTATTTCTTTTGATTTTAAGGTAACTTAAGTCCTAAAATTTAAATTCATAATTAGTAAAAGCTTCAATATGTGAGTCTGAAGTTTTCCTAGTTCGATATTCCTGGTCTACGATGGGTAAAAGTTTTACTGTTTTTTGTTTCCTTTGGAACTGCTAGATATAAGGAAGCTAACAGTAGAACCATCTTGTTGTGTATAACATGTCTGCTAATCAGATTCTTTTGGTTTACCTTTGTTCCACAACACTCCTCACCTCGCACGTAGATTTGTACAGAGGGACTGTCTCCGCTCAGATCTCCAAAAGCGCTGTTCACAGCGTCACACCGGAACTCGTGATTACCTCTCCTTGTAGGCACAAAGTTGAGGGAACATTTATTGTCGCTTTCTGTACATATATCAACATGTTGTGTTCCTGTTGGCGTCACTGTGAGGGTAAAACTTGCTGCTGGGTAGATAACTCCCACAGAACATTCCATGGTTATATCTGGGGTAGATGACGGACACAGGTTATACGTTCCGGTCTCCTCTGGTCTCACGTTTTTTCTCTCCCACGTGACGCCTTCAGGGCCATCTGGTAACAGAGATGACCACAGAAAAAGGAAACAATTAGGGAATGAAACAATTATAAACAAAAATGGTACTTGGCAGAAATGAGGGGTGAATAGAAACAATGAAATAAGGAAAGACCAAAGAAGAGCACAATATTTCCTTGACATTACTTATTACTAAAAAAATGGGATGCAAAAGATATAATAGAAGAAAAAAAACTATTTCCTTATCCCTCCGCTCAAGCTCCCATCGTTAACGTATATATATATAGTACACATCAAACTTACAGTTGTTCCCATCTTTCTCAACGAAAGTGCTACCAACAAATACAGTAGGACCAGCTGTGATCAATACCTGTACAAGACAATGGTATAGAGAAACAACCACTTCACACTTTATCCCTAGCATGAAATAAATAATGACACTGTCCAGGAGCACCACCTGTCAAAGATGAGCATTTTTCTCCCGGACAATGGATGTTCGTCATGGACAGGTTCAAATGTGTTTTCAATAACAATATACACATTATACAAATCATCTGTCTTTTCAGTAACAATATTATATATACATACAAATCATAATATGTGTGTTCAATAACAACATACATATACATACAAATCATCTGTGTTTTCAATAACAATGTACACAATATTATACAAATCATCTGCGTTTTCAATATCAATATTACATACAATCAAATCATAATATGTGTTTTCAATAACAACAAACATATACGTACAAATCATATGTGTTTTAAATATCAACATAATATATAATTATACATACAAATCATCAGTGTTTTCAATAACATTATAATACATAAAAATTAGCTAGACAATGACCGCCAAAGTTTGGCAAGTTCCATAGCCTGAGAGTCCATGGAAACAGAAAATTTTCATTTTTTGTGCCTTTAATCAATGTTTTTCAGTCAAATCCACCTAAAAATGTGTTTTTAAATGGACCTAAAAGGTGTTGAGTCAAAAAAAAAAAAGAAAAAAAATAGCACATCGGTCAAAAAAGGCCGATTTCTTTGAATTAATTATTTTGACGAACGTCTGATTTCACCACGATGCCTCACATATACATATGCATACAAATAATCTGTGTTTTCAATAACAATATACATATGCATGCACATCATATGTGTTTTCAATAACAATATACGTATACATACAAATCATATGAAACACGTGAGTATTAATAACATCAATTCAGAACAAACTGCAACTGGAGAAATCAAGAGAAATTTTTGTCATAGATAGTGACAGACAGAAATCTTAAATGGTTTGTACCACTGGTCTGGTCTCAGTTAATACTTCATGTTTATAATGAATATAATTTAGTACATATTGCTTGTACAGTGTTTAGATGACCAGAGAACACGTACAACTCACAGGCAGCTTTGATGGTGACGTCACTCCGTTTGTTGTAACATCTACTGTCGTGAGTGGCCGTACACGAGCATTGTGTCCCTTGTAACCTAGTTACGACCACAGAACTCACACCTGAACTACCGGCCTGAGAACCAGGACAGCTCAGACGTACGTCACTTGTAGCAGGATATCCTCCTCGGACCACACATTGCACAACGGTTGTGACATTTTCCTTCACCAAGATTTCTCCAGTACTGAGGACCGACGACTGACTCACAGAGATCTCTGGAGGGTCTGGCGGAAGGACTGGGAGAATTGAAAGAAATAAATCTACAAGAACTGAGAGATTAAAAGAAACAAAACTATCTATATGACTTAACTAAGCTACATGGAAAATATCTTCTGTCTAAGACTGCCATCGATTGTCAAGTAGAACAATGGGTGTATTCTTAGACAGGTGTCTGTTTTAGGCAGAACTGATCTAAAGGGAGACAATTAACAGACAGGTCAACTTGCGTAAACAGTGAAACGGGCCAGAAACCTTGATTCTGTAACATGCTGGTCAGCGATTGGTTTATTTATAGGACAGGAAAATAATAACAATTGGTGGATGGATTATAACGGCTTGTCCACAATACTTGAAATACTTCTTGGACTTCACCATATTCCGATAATAACTGGCATTAGGTCATAGACAGACGTGGAACAGGTAAACAAGCCCAACGACTAACATGCTGCAGTGTTGTATATCTCCCAGCCGTACTGAGGCCACAAGAAGGAAAACAAGTGGCTGAACAAGACAATCATTCGATAGTAAAAAGAAATGCTTATTTTTTTTTACTTGAAGTTCTAACACACCAGGGTTGTTGACAGTCCCTGAGGCGACAGTTCCTGAGCCCAAGGTAGACCCGCCCTGAGACAGAACAACTGTGCCTGCAGGAAAACGCTCAGTTTTCTGAGGACATTCACAAGTGGCTGTTGACCCGGACATTGTGTAGTCACCGCTGACCTTTGCTCCGGAAGGACAGTTCACGATTTCAGGGACGGGATAATCTGATAAAACAATGGGAAAAGACTTGTGGTCACCCACGCTGCAGTCTAGGTTTACAAAACATCAACCAAATATAGTATTCACAACACAGACATATCATGCCAGGACTGTAGTTAATGTAATCTTTATACTCGTACTTGAAATTTCGGCCAGATCTTTGAGTCAGAACAAATAAATCAGAATTTCATTTGGTCTTTAATCACTATTCTACTATTTTTTAAAAAGAAGTAATCAAGGCATATCTTCTGAAGAACTTTTTCTGATATCATTTTAAAAAAACAATTAAATGTGTATGTTATTCCCATTGATAAGTAGATTTAGAGGCAGTTGAATTTTTACTGTACCTCAAAGTAATACTTTCCCAGTTTTCTTTAAGGCAAAGGATGTTGCATGAAAAGACCACTGTACTATGTAACCGATCAACTTTAAATTTAGTTCTCTACTTGTATATTTCCATTGAGCTTCAAGCTACATTTCAATAACCCTTAAAGTAATAGAAATAACATTCATTTTGGATATAATTGAGGACAATAAGACAGGCATTCTGTGCTCTGCAAATCTGTTAATCCTCATGTGTAATCTGTTTAACGAACTCCTCATCACTGCTGGATCAGTTCCTAAATTATAAACCATTTGCCGTTTGGTTGTTCTATTTATTTCATGCTTCTGCCTAAAGAGAAATACTTAGTTTCATGGAAAACCATGATACCAACGGAGACAGATGCATAGTTTTAGGTTACCATTATTTCAGGTAAAAGACATGTTTTCCATTCAATTCCCATGTTGGGAAAATATCTCATTAGCATCTCAATCTTTTTTCATGAATGAGACCCACACAGCTGATATCCTTTAACTCCCGCGACCACAACTAAAGGTACCTTAGAACCCGTATAATACAATTAACAAATGGAAAAGAAGTTTATTATCAATAATAAGAGAACATTGGAGCTGAAATGATTTAAGTAATGCCACAAACACTCAAATACATATTCATGAAGAGTCTACGGGAAACATGAGGAGAGTCGCACAATGGAGGTCGTGGGGATATCAGTTTTAAAAGCTTGCATAATCAAAACTTCCGTTCTGTTGGACTGTTGGTTCCATAATTTCTTTTGTTTTTTCCCCCTTAAACTAATATAAATAATAAACCAATAATCAGAAATAAATGAAATTATGATTTT